ACACCCCACCCCTTCAGTGTTAGAGTACGAGTGGCTAGCGCTATAATAGTGAAGAGTTGGGGCCTATGATAATAAATATAATCATCAATATATAAGGTAATTCACGATCTATGAATTCATAGATGAACTACTGGTATATCTTATATCAGGGCTCCTGCTTATATTATATACATCATAAGGTGAAAGGGCAATGCAGTGGTGTGCAAATCAAAGCATCTTCACAGTGTCAGTAGTACCAATAATAAAATCATTTGCCTATAATATTGCAATAATTAGCTGGTCAATGACTGATGAATCCTAAAATATTCTTACTTTTACATTCTGGCTCATTTTTTGTTGAACAGTTGCAAGGAATTTTTTCAATTGGATGTGCCACTAAACCTGCATCAGTAGTTGAGTCTTCTTTTAAAAATATCAAATCATTATCTTTACAACTTTGTATAATCTTACCAATTTCAATTTGTATACTGCGCACCCATCTGGGTGTACACCAACACATCTAACTTCAACAGGTTCCACGATAGTGATGTTGCAAGTCAATATGCCAATATTTTGGATATTACTACATTCATCAAGCTCTCTCTCGGGTTGTTTGGTAATCATGTGTGCATGCTCACAGCTACTAGTGAAGCACTTTAAGGTTACCTTAGTATTAACTGGGACAGTTCTGGCCTTTGAATGCATTTCCAGGATTTCAATATCTAAATAAATTTTATTTATTATGGACAAAATAGTACTAGGTTACTCCACTGATTATACATATAAAGTCACTTACTACAGCTTAATCCCACAGAAATAAGAGCCAAAGTCATTCCTTTCATGCTCCGGTAGCTACAAATCTTCAAAATTTTTCTGTGATTTTAGATATGTAGATTACTATAATGAATGATTTGAGAGATTGTAGAATTTCTAAAATTTTCAAAGACTGCATTGCAAACAAAATTTTTAAGGCCAAGATTCAATTTGCTTCAAGTTGTGTTTCAAGGTCAGAGTACAAGCACCCAGGGATATACGTTAGTCTATTATATCTCTGATGCACCCAATCATAAATAATAGACCACCCTAGGCGTGAATTGGAAAAGATATGAATTTCATTAATTTTATATACGGTATCCGCCCACACATCATAATTGGCCGCCATTTTGGTTGGCAAGTTTACTAAGGAAGTCAATGGAGGCACGAAGAAAATGCCTCACTTACCTGCTGTAGCTCTATCAATAGCTAAAAAGCGCTTGTTATAAGAAAGAACAGCTGCCTCTAAGCTTCTCCTGTCAAGGATTTGGTCAAATTTGCTCCAGAATTCTTAATACAGGTTTGTTTTTATGTCGGCCCGTTTGTTCTCCATTGAAAGTTGCCAACCAAAATGGCGGCTGGAATTTATTTCATCCTAAACCACGCCTTACAACCGTAAAAATTTCTAATAATCTTCCTACGCATTCAATTCTCGCCTAGGGTGGTCTATAGAGTAAATTCATTTGCTCTATTATCTATGACCCAATATATCTATATCTAGGGCGTGGGATAATTGTGAGATGATAGCATGTTAGCCCACCCAAATAGCATCATGAATATTAACCCAAAATATGCACTAAATGATATTCAAAAATCTTAGCTGTGTTGTTGGTCTTGGTGCCTCACCAAACTTGCTGAGTTTTTTGAGCCTCAAGGACTGAAAGTGGTGAACTATTAATAGAATGGATGACAAGATGATGCCACAACTCTATCTTTATCAATGTTGTCTATATTTTTGCTCATTATTAATAATTATAGATCTAATGAAACAACAAAATTACAATAAAATTAAACAACATAAACAGTTCTATACTATATCAGAGTTAGGTTATAATAATAATCTACTCTTGATAATAATAATCAAAATAATGCAGGTGAGGCTAACATTAATAATAGCAGGTAAGAAAGCCAGAGTGAGCGGAGAAAAGAAAAAACTAGAATAATACTATTAAGCTAATAAGTATTGCCATTATAGTTAGTGAAACATTTGCTTGATTCAATACTGCAGAACCAATACTTGTACGGTTGCCTTCGCAGCTTGTAGTGGAACAGTTACAAGGCAATTTTTCAGTTGGATGCTCTGCATTAGCCGTTGAATTTTCTGTAATAGACATAAAATGTTACAAAATTATAGAATTGTATCTTACCAATTTCAATCAGTATACTTCTAGATGATTTGCACTCACACTCATCATCGTGTACACCAACACATATAAGTTCAACAGGCTCCATGATAGTGATGTTGCAAGTCCGTATGCCATTTCGGTCTATGGGAGTACAGTTAAGCTCTCTCTCTGATTGTTTGACATTTATATGTACATGCTCGCAGTGACTAGTGAAGCACTTTACTGTTACTTTAGTGCTAGGTGGGACACGTCTTGTGTTGGTATGCGGATGATAGATCTGCAGATCTTCAATTTCTACATAATAACAGATTTTAAAAACGTTAAATCTAGCTACAATAATGACTTAAGTCTAGTCACTTACTACAAAGAGATAAGGCTCTAGTCTCGCGTGGCCAGACTCCCTGGCTACGCGAGCCTAACAGGGTTCCAACATACATACTGACCGCTATGGCGGTCACAGTTCCAGTTATAAGAATGATCCGCAAAGAACAGAGAATGATATATCTAAATCTTCCTTGGTCCAGTCTCATGTTTTAAATCAAGATTCTAAAACAATTATAGTTGCAGCCAGTGACTAGAAGTCTATAGAACAAATCAGTACAGTAATGCTGGTTGGCCTGAGTCGCGTCATTTTAACCATTATCTATGTTTTAACGCATTACGTTATAATTGACGCGGTTCAAACATAGATCATAGATACTACAGTGCTTTGCAGGTTGCTTGACCCAGTTTCTGCTCACGTGACATGTATTACTAGTATGGTGAGAGTCACGTGATTAACGAGTTTGCAGGGTCAAGCAACCTATACCCCTGGATATGAAACACGGCCCGACCGGATGTTCTGAGGCTTGTTTCCCCGGAAATACGTCATATTACGTTTTCATTCAGAATAAAAATAAAACAATGATAAAAAGTATTATTATTGCTAATAAAAGTGTGATTTTATGTACAATAATACAATAAAACTTGACATTAATCATGCATTATAATTGCTGAAACTTTCCTTTTCTTTTAGTATATGCAGTCTACCAATGCATGACTTTCCCATCTCTTGTCACCTAAAAATGATGATTTTGACAACACAATTGCACCAAAACTAAAAATACACTCCTTTTGAGAATAGGCCCACTACAACTACCTATTCTCAAGCTACAAAACCATATAGAAAAAGTTCCAATTAAGTCAAGTATTACAAAGAAAAATTGGCTAGAAAGGTGGGGCTTGAAAAACCAAGATTTAGAAAATAACAGCTCTTTTACTTAACACAAACTCTAAATAATAGCCCCACTACAACTAGTAAACAATAACCTATCAGTACAATAAAAAATGTTGGCCTAATTCAACAGAGTTAAGCTTAAAAAGTGGCTTGAGTGAAATGTACACAACAAGTAGGCTATGACATCCATTGTAGAACTAAAATATGCACTCAAACTATCGTTTATGAGCATTATTTCAATACATAAAGGCTTTGCAAAGTCCTCTGAGGGATCATTCAGCTACTTTAACAAACGAATAGGCTACTGTGATTGTTTTACTTACCCTGGCAGCCATGAATGCAGCGAAACAAGGGTGAGGACAGCCGGATGTGACGTTTATGACGTTTCCTTATGGGATTTTATATGTGTGCATAGAGGAGTTTCGTATCCAGGGGTATATAGTATCTATGCATAGATACTACATGTAGTATCTATGGTTCAAACGAATTCTATACGCTCGCCCACGCAATCTAAGACCGACACAATGCATGATTTTAAACGGTCTATTTTGCGGATACAGCACTGACTGGTATCAATCTTGAATCATGTCTGCATGTTGCTCTTGCTGAACCAGGGTCGTACTCCAGCATGGTTGTATCATGGATGATCATCAGAATTGTATCATACTAGACTCATTGCTTTGCAGCCCAAAATCCATGATATAGGAATATATCAGGCTGATCCTGGTTGATATCAGTCATGATTCAAAACTAATAAAATTCTTGGCTGTGTAAGTGATTAATGTTGTATGACTATCCAGGAGCTACTTTATGCATATCTACTCTCAATTGCTCCCCATAAATGTCTATGTATAATAATAAAGTTGTTTTTTTCAGTCAAAAGATTTCCTCCTAATATAAATAACTTTTCATTAAAATTATCCACCAGTATTCTGCTTGCCTTGCTTTGAGCTGCCTTATGACCTTTATCATATCTGGACATAAAACCCCACTGAGACATACAAACAGATAACTAATTATTATTAATATTATTATTATTAATGTATTAATCTACAACTCAGACTGAGAGCATGCAGCTTTGGCCTGTGACATGGCTGTAGAAAGACCAGCTTGATACTTGAATGGAATCTGTAAGATACATATGCATGCATAAATGCAAATAAACTAGCTACATGCATGTGTAATGTATTATGTTTTTTTCCTTTCTTAGTTCTCACAAACATTTTGTCCATCGTCCTTCAAAGTATATAGTGCTACAAGTAAATGGAGCAGTGTTTAGTGTATGGATCCAACTTCTTAATACTGGTGTATCATTAAAGACATGATACTTCTCCTATAAATGAATAATACACGCAGCCTGTGAATGTGAAGCTTACAACTTTCATTGTCTTCACTGAAAAGTTAGAGCAAAACAGCAAAATTCACTAAAATCCTTCCACATCTATAAAAATACCAGACCACCCTAAAATTAAATTATGGCAAGAGTATTTGCAATGATGCCAATGTGCTCAGGTAGTTAACTCATTGTGGTGAGTAGTCTAGTACTGAAATGTAGTACTGACTACAATAGTGATCATGCTGAATAAATACAATAGCAATAATAGACCAGCTATAATAGATCTAATATGAAGTGGTTAATTCTGATATAGTTATAAGTGATTAATGCTGGGTGAATAATGTATACAAGATGCGTTCTTCATGGAGCTAGTTCATCATTTTTCTTAGACAGTTTATCAGTTGGTCTTTTTGAAGGCTTTCCTCCTATGGTACAATGTATGTTAAGTAGCTATACATAAAATCTAATCTTTTATATACTTGCCTTGATTTGAGCTGCCTTTTCTCTTACGACCTTTATTATATCGGGACATGAAACCCCACTGAGACAATCTCTCCTACATACAAACAAAATAACTAACTAGTATTAATATCATTATTAATGTACTACATTTAGTGGTAGACTCAAAGCAGATTTTGCTTGCGACATTGCTGTAGAAAGACCAGCTTGATACTTCAATGGAATCTGTAAAATACAGCATATTTATGCATGTATAAATACAAATAAGCTAGCTACATGTATATGCAATGTATTAAGTTTTATCCTTTCTCAGTTCTCACTAACACTTGATCCCAGCACAGTCCTTTATAAAGTGGTACTACAAGTAAATGGAGCAGTGTTTAGTGCATGAATCCAACTCCTTATTGATACTGGTGTATCAATAAAGACAACATAATACTTCTCCTATGCCATACAGCCTGTGAATGTGAGGCTTAAAACTTGAGGTGTAGCTGGTGAAGGTTTTCCGCTTTTTTCATTCTTTGCTTCATAGTAGGTATCAGTGTCAAGATCAGCTTCTATTATACCAGGCCATCTAATTATAAAGAGTTATAAAATGGCTGGGAGTCGGAGGAAACCTTTTTATTTTATTACATTTCTTTTTATTCATGTTATTTAAAAAATGAATTCAGAAGTCAATTTTTGAAGTTGCTCAGTAAATTAGACCAAAAACCATACACAGGCTCGCATAGGCTATAGTATAGTACAGGCAGGGTCTTTGGTCAAATCGCCAAAAATGACTACATGTTCTTACGTTGTGTAGCAAGTTTGAGCTGATTTTAGATTCATTACTGATTAAAGCTCTTTTTGTAACTTTGTGAAATAGCTGTGCAGACTGCATCTCCATCTTGAATATCTATTTTAATATTAAAAATAATTAGTATCCTCACAGT